ATTATATTAACATTTCTTTATGACTCTGTTCTTGTGTATACATTTCCATACATTTTAAATTATACAGCTAATAAACTTCCAAATAATTAATTCAGCTGTAAAGGATTGAAAATAAAAGCCCGGAGTGAAGGGCTAAAGGTTTTTGTGTCCATTTGTATTTTTACCTTTTTGGCAGAATTGACATTAATGTAGCTGGTCCTTTAAAACGTCAATATCAACTATTCGAGCTCCACGGGGTCTATTTTTTTCGATATTTTCTTACCCCTATTAAAAAACACTTTATTATAAACTAAGCCGGAGTCGTAAACATGCAGAAAAAGTTTTCTGAGGTTTTTTCGTACATACCGATGTCGCTCTTGTATAATATTTCGTAAATTTCGCCGCGACGTATGTATTCGCCGTTTCACTGTCAAGTTGTCTCATTCTCAACCAAGAATGCAGTGCTTCGCGAAGTTTTGCAGAATTACTCAGATTTCTTGTCGATAATTTTCCAAATTTGCCGGAGGATAAACGATTATTGAACCGAAAGGCCATGTTTGTTTTGCTAATTTATTTGGGATTTAAATCTGCGGCTCAAATCCCGCAAGTTTCCCGTACACGAAAAATTTTCCCGCACCTCTGATATTTCCACGCAATGTCCACGCACATACAATTACGTCATTTCGTTACCAGTCCCATGCTTAAACAACTGTAGGGAGCTACCTTAAATGACCTCTATACAGAATTAGAATTAAAATTAAAAATGAAAACGTACTTACCTTGACAATAACTCTGTCTTAATAAAGGTAAACTAAAAATACAGTAATAAAAAGATGAGACGTTCTCTGGTTAATATATTTATTAATCACAAGCTTTCGGCTACCAGTCTGTAGCCTTCAACGGGTGTATATACAATATGATACAAGGACGCTAAAACTATATAATATACATGTAAATTGAAACTAAACGTGACGTATGTGTATGTGCAATCTGAAATATGATAGGTGATATTACAATTTTCTTATTAAGGCTGTGTATTGTCGAGGAAGTAGCTTAGAGTTGTTATCAGCATTTTTGTCTTAGGCTGTATGCCATGATTCTAAAGTTAGACGGTTCCGAAATTTCCCTTTGTCTATGACTTTCGAGTTATCAAAATCAATTACATGATCACAGTCCCATGCATGCTTAGCAATGTTTGATCCATCTTTATTTTGTTTTAAGTTTCTGACGTGTTCAGATTTTCTTGTCTTTAGGGATCTGCCTGTTTCACCTATATAATTCCAAGGGCAATCTTTACATGGTATTTTGTAGATGACGTTAGTTTGTTCTTCGGTTGGAGGTCTGTGTTTTACTGAGGGGAATTCTCGTTGTAGGGTTCTCAAAGGTTTATTATGGACTTTTATGTTATGTTTTCTTAGTGTTCTTGATAGAGGTTCTGTTACTCCTTTGATGTATGGTAAAGTAGCATGTCCATTGTAAGTTTCCGAGGGATCAACCTGTTCAAAGAATGTTCTTACTAATTCTTCCGGACTTGGCGTAGCTTTGTCAGTTTGGGATTTGATCACCTTAGAGATGAGCGGTTTCGGGTATCCATTTGAAGCGAGGGTTTCGCTTATATGTTTTAACTCTTTATATTTGCTGTCTTCGGTGGTGGGAAGGTTAAGGGATCTGTTGATGAGAGTGGTGGCAGTGCTGATTTTGTGTTTCAGATCGTGATGTGAAGAGAAGTCAAGGTAGCGGTCTGTATGCGTGGGTTTGCGGAAAACATTAAAAGAGATAGAGTTATTGTGTCTAGAAACTAACGTGTCGAGGAATGCAATTTGTCCGTCTTTTTCATGCTCTATAGTGAATTTTATGTGAGGGTCAATAGAATTGAGCGTGTTATGAAAGCTAGTGACTGCGTTCTTATTTATAATGGCAAAACTGTCGTCAACAAATCGTTTCCAAGTCTTAGGTGGTGTTATAGCAGATTGAATTGCTTGCTCTTCAATCACTTCCATGCATAAATTTGCAACGATAGCACTGACAGGACTGCCCATGGCACATCCATGAATTTGCTTGTATATTACGTCGTTGTAAATAAAGTAACTGTTAGATAAAACAAATTCCAAGAGTCGTAAGATATCGTCAATGTCTAGTTGCGTTCTGTTACAGTTGTGTTACCAGGTGTTATCGTCAATGTCTACATGTTATCGTCAATTACAGGTGTTATCGTCAATTAAAGGTGTTATCGTCAATGTCTAGTTGCGTTCTGTTACAGTAATGTCTAGTTGCGTTCTGTTACATGCTACTTTACCATACATCAAAGGAGTAACAGAACCTCTATCAAGGACACTAAGAAAACATAACATAAAAGTCCATAATAAACCTTTGAGAACCCTACAACGAGAATTCCCCTCAGTAAAACACAGACCTCCAACCGAAGAACAAACTAACGTCATCTACAAAATACCATGTAAAGATTGCCCTTGGAATTATATAGGTGAAACAGGCAGATCCCTAAAGACAAGAAAATCTGAACACGTCAGAAACGTAAAACAAAATAAAGATGGATCAAACATTGCTAAGCATGCATGGGACTGTGATCATGTAATTGATTTTGATAACTCGAAAGTCATAGACAAAGGGAAATTTCGGAACCGTCTAACTTTAGAATCATGGCATACAGCCAAAGACAAAAATGCTGATAACAACTCTATAAGCTACTTCCTCGACAATACACAGCCTTAATAAGAAAATTGTAATATCACCTATCATATTTCAGATTGCACATACACATACGTCACGTTTAGTTTCAATTTACATGTATATTATATAGTTTTAGCGTCCTTGTATCATATTGTATATACACACGTTGAAGGCTACAGACTGGTAGCCGAAAGCTTGTGATTAATAAATATATTAACCAGAGAACGTCTCATCTTTTTATTATGTCTAATCCTGGTTACACATCTAAGATTTTTAAAAATACAATATCTAAATAACCATAACGCAGGATTCGCATTGTATTTCTTCCGACTTCAAGACAAATTGCAAAAATTCCAAAATCAAGCAGCAAGGGTGATTACCGGAGCTGACTACGATGTAAGATCGTCTGAAGTCCTAAACAAATTAGGCTGGGAAACCCTGGCTAGGAGACGAGAACAAAACAAGCTAGTATTGATGTATAAAGTCTTGGGGAACCACACTGCGCCAAACCTTAAAGATCTTTTTTCTCGGAGAAATGCATCGCAGAATATTTATGATTTACACAATAGCGAAACTGATCTCTCGTTAAAAAAACCGAAAACGGAATTTCTAAAGAAAACATTTGGATACAGTGGAGCAATTCTATGGAATAGTCTCCCGCAAGATGTCAAGGCGGCTGAGTCAATTACGTCATTTAAAACAATGGCGAAATTGCATTTAAGCAGATGATAAGCTAATTTCTCCAGGACCAAATGATGGGAGGACAATATAGATTGTGGGCGGGAGGGGGGTTAGTTTTGCGTGAGGGTGGGTGGGTACTTGTTTCGGGAGTGGAGGTTTGGGAGGAAGATGATAAAATTTTAGGGTGGGATTTTTACATATTTTGTTCTATATATAATTAACATTTAGCTCTTTGTGTCTATACGCCCTTCGTGGAAACCAGTTGTAAATAATTGTCGAAGTTAGCGTATTGAAATAAAGTTTTACATACATACATACATACCACGGTTGCGCGGCAACTCCATGTATTTCCGTGCTTAAAGCCATATCACGGATGGCACGTAGCATCATAGGCGCTTTCGCTTGCGTTTCCAGTCCCTATCTTCTGGATTGTCTATGGTAAAAGTGAAGCTTTGAATGGTATTTTGGTCAGTTTCGCTGAGCTTACCATTAACCTTAAATGCTTCAAGTAGGAATTAGGGTGCCTATTACCCACAAGAGTACATCCATCCCGTTGGCAGGTCACGTCATCCCATGGGTATACAAAAAGCTATTTCGATCACCCCTAATGAAGACACTAGACTGGAGTGTCGAAACGTTGCGCCGTGAATGAAATTCCACTTGGCTTTGGTTTCATTAATTACAACTAGAAATACATGCATCAACAATCTCTCTCCTATATTTTTCAAACATTGTTTCAATATGTTCATAATTACGCCAACACTGAACAACAGAATAAAGACTATACAAAAGCCCGACTTCTTGGTTTTTCCTATAATTTTGGCGTAACCATGATTGGTCATCAAAATGGTGACGCCATGGTTATAGCCCTGCCTCGTCCCCAGTTGCTTTTAAAGGTGGTCGAGGAAAACGAGAAAAAATTCTTTGTTGGGCGCGCTGAGAATAATGGGAAGGCGAAGGAAAGGGAATCGACTGCCAATTCCTGCATTCAAGATGGCATCGTCAGCTATAGCAGAGGAGTTACTTGTGGACGCAAATTTCTCTGGGCCTTTTCATTATGATTTCCTAGAAAAAGCTCATTTGTCCGTATAGCGAGTGTTTTAAAAGGTTGTTATTTTTTAAGAAAAATGCTGGCTTGGGCCGACATTATCGTGTAATTAACAAGAAAACAGCGACAAACTGTCTTCGTTTTATGGTTATATTTTAAAGCTAAAAGGTTCAGGAAAACTACATGTGTTCGTACTATCTAAACGTGTTCGTATTAACTGAATATCTGATCGTGTCCGTAACTGATGCAATCTACATGTCTGATTACGTAATGTCAACAGGACTATTTACATTAACTGGACTGCTTAGTTCACGACATCCTCCGGGGGCGCATTTAACACTTTCGCACAATTTGAAATCTGTCGTAATGCATTTTTAGCTGCTGCTCTAATGGTTCTTTCCATTCCATCTTCTGGAGTGTTTTCGTTGTGGATTATTGATTCTTTCGTTTCAACTGGATTATCTGCTCTAGTCGTTGCACATACTTGGCTATTGGTCGGTTTGTTTTGCCGGTTGCTGTGCGTATCTGAGCTGCCCGTATTTGACCGTCTTCACCTTCAATAAAGTTTTCAATCATTGCTAGTTTTCAATTTATCCTTGGCTTGTCATCATGGACTAAGATTATATCTCCTATGTTGATTATTTGCTTGTTATTTCCAGTGGTCCTATGGAACTCGCGTATAAAGATGTCAAGTACTCGGTTTTCCAACGATTTCTAAAATGTTGAAGGAGAAGTGCCTGTCTCCGCGCTCGTTTTGTCACTTCGGTAAGATTTCCATAATCAGGGTCATGGATGTCTTCATCGTCAACCTTTACAAGAGGTAGTGATGTGATGCGACGTCCATTAAGCAAGTTGGAAAGTTGGAGGGTGTAAGAGCTTCTTCGTCATCAATATCTGCGGATACATAAGTGAGCGGTCGATCATTCAGTATGGCTTCTATTTCCACGATTATCGTTTGTAAGTAGTAGTAGTAGTAGTAGTAGTAGTAGTAGTAGTAGTAGTAGTAGTAGTAGTAGTAGTAGTAGTAGTAGTAGTAGTAGTAGTAGTAGTAGTAGTATTAGTAGTAGTAGTAGTAGTAGTAGTAGT